TTCCCCAACCAGCATGGCTGGCTGGGGAATTCTGGGAGTTGAAGTCTACCCATCTTAAAGTTGCTGAGGTTGAGGAACCCTGAATTAGAGGAAGGATTATTTACATCCTGCTGTCTGTTGATTTAGATTTTCTTTTTCTTCTTTTGTCATTGGGTAAAAAAAATGTTCATGTTGTTGAGACCCTAAATGCAATGCTAAATATGCAGTTTTGATTAACATTGTGAGTTTTGCAAATACATACAGAAAAAAACTGCATGGCATCATGCCCTGTTAAATGCTCCCAGGTTTTCCTGTTGTGTCAATTTACTTTCAGCTTGTAAAAATGCATAATTTTACAAGCTGAAAAGTATAAATACAAGCCTTGTACATATTAGATCAGAATATTCTGGTTTAGAGCAACTGTTTACTTTTCTTTCAAACCATGCTGAAAATGGGTTGCTAGAAGGTGGGAGGTTTTTTTAAACTCAGTCTCCAGTGTGCTTTTCTACGCAGAAGTATAATCCATTTAGATTACAAAGCAGAAGCATGTTGTAATACCACTAATTATTTACGTATTAAAAGTACGGGTACTTGAACTCCAAAAATAGTAAAGGATTGTTTTTTAGTTTTTTGAATTTGAGAGGAAAGTTAATGATGGAATTACTGTACTGGTGTGATGGAATTCCATTTCCTTGCGATATGAAGAAAATATGTATTACTAAGTCATTTTTATTATTCCAGGCTTTTGAAGACCTCAGCAAATTGATGGAAAAGGTAGTATCTCCACGTTACCAGTACCCTTGTTCTGCATACCACATTAGTGAGCATGTTGTGCTGCACTTAGTATTATCAAAATTAATTAGGACCAGAGATTGGGAACTGATTTTATTCAACAGAATAAAAGAGGGGAGGGAGGTTCAGGGACTCAGTTATATAGAAGTATAGCATACATCATTATACACACACACACACACCGTAAATAAACTCTGCATTATTTGAATCTTCATAGCTTAATGATTACTTGTGAAGTGTTATTATTGACGGTAGGTCCAGATGGTGGATATTTGTCTATTCAATAGCAACAGTTGAATCCAGCTCAGCAGCATCTGAGTTGTGAAGGAAGGGAAATGCCAGCCAAACCTAGTCCAGGAGCTCTGTTTCCTAGCTTTGACCTGCTGAGCAGCTGTTCAGCACTCAAGCCTGAAAAAGCTGATCTCACATTAAAGGGCAAGATTGTGTTGCATACCCAGCAGCTTTATTTTGTGTCTTACAGGCAAAGGAAATGGTGGAGCTGTCAAAATCAATTGCTAGCAAGATCAGAGAAAAGCAGGGTGACATCACTGAAGATGAGGTCAGCTAATATTCTGCTACATTCAGTCTGAACATTACGATTCCCACATCATGCTAAGTTGTAATACAGCTCATTTGTTTTTGATAAACCAGGTCAATGTAGTTTGTTCAGTGAACTTTGGTTTAAAAAGTTCCTGGATTAGTATTGTGTAAATGTAGCCAATATAGTACAGCACCATGTGGTCCTCAATACTACACTGGTTGCATAATATGATATTACAAATGGGGACTTAACAAAATTCCATTTCATTCCATTTCTGTACTGTATCTTATGCTTGGATTGAAAACCTGTTCTTTCCCTCTACCCCACTCTTAATAAACACAACAAAGCTGACACTCCTATATCATTAAGGGAAGCTTCTCAAAAAAGAATATTCTCATGGAAAATTTACCAAGCCACTATGTGGATTAACAAGCTTCCTCAAATGTAGGTTTGCTTCAGAAAGTGAGTGATGGAAGAGTGACAGGTGATCCTGCTACATCCTTTCCCCTAGCTGGAAAATGCTGGTGGTTTTCCTTTCTGGCAGCTTCTATTGCACTTTCTCCCAATAGCCTTTCTTTACCCCTCCCCTGAAAATAATGCCTGCTTTCAAACATGCCATATGTATGTCATGACCACATCACGCTGAGGAATAGTTCCTTTCAATTACATCTTGTTCGTCTTCCCCCTCCCTCTCTCCCTTCCCATCAATGCTGTTCTGGCTCCTCTGTATTGGGACATCATTCTTTTGTTTTGAATTTTCCCCCTATTTTCATGCATTAGGATCTTCAAAATTCAGATAATTTATTTTAATTATCTATTGTTTAGTAAAGAATCTGATATTCTGTACTATTTTTTAAAATTGTCCTTTTTTTTTTAGACAATAAGATTCAAATCCTATTTGTTGAGCATGGGTATTGCTAACCCAGTTACCCGGGAAACCCATGGATCTGGCACTCATTACCATATGCAGCTGGCAAAACAATTAGCTGGAATTTTACAGGCACCTTTAGAGGTAAAGTACTTACCTGTCTTTTTTTTTTTAATGTACAATCTTACATACCAGCACACTGTGACCTTGGCTGATCTCAAAAAGCTAAGCAAGGTTAAGCCTAGTTAGAACCTGGATTAGAGAACATTAGGAAATCCTGGGGTTGTAGTCGAGATATGGAATTTGAAAAAAATATCCTGAAAAATGGCAGTGGCAAATCACTTCTGAACTGGTGGCAAAAAAATACAGGGACTTGCCTACAAAGTTAATAATATTTGAACCAGATCCAAAGGAATCTTTATTTTATACATCATCCATGAATAATCTTGAATCTACAGATTGCAGTTCCTCCACTGTAAATCTTTGTTTTCCTTTCTGTTCAGTGAGAAAGATTCTCTTCTTTCTCATTATAAAGAAAGAAATCTTAGTAACTTGCCTGATAAATAAATATGCTGCTTTATAAAATTAACTCAGAACTGCTTATAAATAAAAATACAGGTAGTCCTTGTTTAGCCACCACAATTGGGACTGGCAACTTGGTCGCTAAGTGACACAGTCGCTAAGTGGAAAACCACATAACTGCGACTGTGCTTCCGATTTTATTTCAGCTTTCCTTTTTCCCCATTCCCCTGCCCTTTGAAATGCTCACCCCAGTGCTGGAATAATTAGCAAGAATTAATGTTTGTATTTACATTCATTGGAGAGGAAGAGATTACAAGACAATAAGCAGGCACACAATGGGGAATACACATTGAAAGGGACGTACTAGTGCCAGCTGTTTGCCTGGTGGCACTGGAGTCCTGAGCTACTTAGGAGGCAAACAAAAGCCAAAGTTATGAAAATGATTAAAGTTTTGTCAGTTTCAGGAGGCAGCTGCAAGCCAGCTAATTAAGGTCACAGAGCTGAGCTTGTTAACTTGGGGTTAGCATCTTTTGGGGAATCACTGCGGAGAAAAGCTCTGTGCTGCGGAGAAAAGCAGCTCAGGAAGAAATTGCTTGTTTAGGCAATCTCTCTGGTCTGTGAGGGAGGGAAAAAGAAAAAAAACGGGTCAGGCACAGGACAACACTTACTAACTTACTGTAATGGTGAACAAGTCACTGAGAGAGAGAGACGCTGCAAAGGTCATAAATGTGGGCATTGGTCACAGTTACTTTTTCATCAGTGTCGTAACTTTGAACAGTCACTGCCTGAGGCAGCTGCTAAGTGAGGTCTACCTGTACAGCAAAGAAAACAACTAAAATCAATCTCATATAATAAAACCAAGAGTAGAATAAAAGAAGAAATATAAAACCAGCCAGGTAGAAGCTAGAACTCAGTGAAATACATGAAAAATAAAACTCTTGATAGCTTGGCTGATGCTTAAAGAGAAGAAGCCAACCAAAACTCTCCGAGGGATTTCCTCAACCTGAATGTCATACAGAATTTTAAAATCCATTATAGCATAAATGTTATATTTGGATGCCAGAGAATAAAGAAGACACTCTTAAAGATGATCGGAGGATACCAATGCAGTTATCCACATCCAAGCACACTAAGAAGAGACATATCTAAATCCATGGCAAATGAATACAAGTCCTGAGAAAATGAATTGCTGATAAGGCATATGAGAGCAAATATAAATCATGTTTCCATTTTTCCCTTTAATATTTTGTTAAAAGCTAAGTCTTAGAAAAAGGATTTCTGCTTGTCACCATCAGTCTTTCATATCTCTACTGGTTATAGAAAGAGACTATTGATTTGAGTTGATTTGACTGTATTTTTGGCAATGTTAAGCACCACTGGCAGAAAATGACTGGAAGGACCTGACACATTTATGGCTCTGTTGAATGTGCTGGTAGGCTCAGTACCCCTGTCCTCCACCTGTTGGTTTTGGCGCTAGTCTGTTGCTGCTGTGAAGCTACATCTGTTCAGGCTATAACTTTAGCACCATTTTTAATTTTCCAGTCCTCTGTCTGGAAATATTGATATTGTCAGATTGCCAAATATGCTTTGGGGTAGCATCACTGGTGTTTTAAAGAGCTGTTCTTAAATCAACAGGAGCGGGGAGGAATAATGTCTCTCACAGAAGTTTATTGTCTGGTGAATCGAGCTCGTGGCCTAGAGGTAAGGAACGACTTATCTTCTACACTTTGACAAAACTACAGTATTTGAGTTTCACTAAATATCCCAAGGAACCTTCTTTCTGGAGCAGCTGCTGATGGCAAATACTATCTTTGGTCCTTAGCCGTTGTTTTTTTGCTATAGAAGTTAACAGCATGAAGATTGTCCTGGCATGATAAGGCATCTAGCAATGCGTTGGAAATCAGTAGAATGGGAATGTGTGGATTGGAATCCTGAAGGCTGCAACTCTGTACAAATTTACCTGAGATGAAATTCCATTGAACTCAGTAGGATTTATTTTTAGGAAACATATATAGTGGTACCTCTACTTACGAACGCCCCTACTTACGAAATTTTCGAGATA